AAATCCTTGACTTTGAAAAGGTTTTTAGTTATCTCTGATCAGGCAATTAGGCATAGAATAAAAACAAGCCAATGATAATTTAATACTTCGAAATCCAAACCTAACCTTACTTTTGGTGGAATCAATCAAGCCCCGTAAATGGATAGCGTAAACTTCGTCCTCAGAGGCTCACAGGGACCGACTTCGCGCCATATAAATATATATACAACATAGTACATAGCTTAGTTAAAAGTTTCCTGTCGAGGCGCACCGGGAGTGCGGGACGTTCAAAGTTAATTAGCCATCCTCCGAGGTCGCATGGAACAAGATATAAGATCTTAGCTTCTTCTATAAAAAAAATCGTAACAACATTTACAGTTTACACGACATCTTCCAAAACTATAGTGCCAATAAGAATTTAATTTTAGTTATCGTTTTTCAAAGAAATAATCAGCAAGTACTAACAAGTACAAAGTAATTTTTATCTCTCACTCCCACTCAACAGAGAACACTCTGACCCTCTCGCAAATTTATTGATTTTATTATAGTTTTCCAATGAAACTCTTTTAACTTGTACCACACCCTGTCGCTGAATATCGGTCGTCTCCCGGTAACTTGGTAAATAAGGATGTACGCGTTACTGCCGATGGCACAAACACCACTATGTATTAACATGTATCATGTAAGATCAAATGCTGCATAGACAATATATTTTATTTATCTTTAACTAATTCGCAGAATAGTAGTAGTGAATATTCTAATTAATTATTAACATGGATTAATTAAACATAATTAATATTTAACGTTAATGATAAATTTGAAGTAGCTCAAAAGATATATTTAGTACAAAGAAACAAATCTACTTCCGTTTTCGGAAATTCCTGCGTTACTCGAAGTTTCAAGGATGTAAAACATAATTAGGCATTGAATATTCAAGAAACTAAGCAATATAGTTGTTGTGTTAGTCAAATACTAGGCAAGACCTAAAATAACTGAATCAAATTAATTTAACAATCTCTTTAACAAGTTTCCATTTGATTGTCACAAAGTAAATCATGCGTCACTTTCTTGCTTAATCTGAGAACTCTATTATTTTTCCGACTTAAATGTTGTCTTTTAAATATATGTAATTCGCGTAAATTATGTGACAATACCCCTAGAACATCTATATGCAAAATATTATACAATTATGTTCTAACACATGGAAAACCAATCTATTTTAAATTACAATTTTAATTTCCTATCTGTTAGCTCTTAGCTAGGCAACACTTTGAACACAGTCTGGAAAATTAATGTAAATATCTTGATATAAGTTATCTAAATAGCTAAAGAGGCTATAAACGCGTCCGCGTGTTAAATTTATAACGTGTTAATAAGATTTGCCGGTTAATATCCCGTCGCAGGCACAACCTGGGCTGCCTGTGGTACCGTTATTGTTATTATTTGCGAATCGCAACCGAGTGCAGGGCGCATTCCACAACTACAATACTATGCTGATTTTCCGACAACTATCTTTACAACCCGTTTGCAAATTACGAAAATTGCGCGATATCTGTCTTAACTAGCTAAATTTGCAAGTTACATTAACTATTCAAAGCTAGTATACGTTTTTGACACGCAAATTCGAACGATAATAACCGTTGTTTAATGTAAAAGATCTAGACAATTTAAGGATTGTACCTACCACTTTCGCTAGTAATATAATTATCATGCCTATACTCTACTTTATGAAGACTTTAAATCATTAAAATAATATCACACAAAACTAATTCTCTTACACAGATACATTTTTAGTACTCAACAATTTGTCAGTAGTCTCTCGAGTGTTCGAAACAACCAAATTGAGTTGAATCTCTCAGTCGTTTGTCACTGTCGATGCGATCCGATCTAACATCTATCAATACTCACCGAACACTCTCATCCTTCACCTCGCTTTAGACTTATACAGATTAGGAGATGAAATAAATGAATTTGTATTTAAAATCCCGTAGACAGCATTTCCTAGTTTAAGCTAAAACACTGATTAAATCTTCAATCTTCATGAAAAACAATTGAAATGCTAACGTCATCTTCGAGTTTAAGTTGAAATCATACAAATGCTTTAATATGTTACATTGTCAGAGAAGCACTAACGTTGTCTTGAAATCCAGTTCCTGTTTTTAAAGAGTAAAACGAACTTGACTCATTGCTTTCAACGAAATCGAGAATGATGCGAATAAATCACGATGTTTATAGTAAAATTATAGTAACTAAATGAAGAATTTGGCGTAAACGCAGTAATTTACCATATGTTCTTCCTACTACAACTTCATGTAGGTTATGTTAAAGCAACCAAATAATGAATCTCTCTATACTTGATACATCAAATGAAAAAAAAAAATAGTTTTTTTCACTTCATAGAAAACAAAACAAAAGTACCGTACATACGATTGTTAGGTTCGATTGACTTCTATCGAATTTCACGGCTCACATTATTGTAGGACGCCGTCACCGTCGCCCAACGCAGTACGGCGTGACAAACAGATTTTTCAATACACGCCTCGAGCTTTCTCCATCATGATGGATGGGTGACCGACCTCTAACGTATCCGTTAACAGTTACCTTTAGATGAAAATCAAATTACTGACATCTAATGTTTGTCATTGACTTGCAATCTGTACTTTTACCAGACAGGGAAGTATGTATTGTTTTAAAACATGATTTGCTTTTCTGTAATTTTCACCAGTTTCAAAGTTTCATTCGTTTATCCTTTTTTTCATTTTACAATTAGAGATATAGTACTGTTCAGTGCCAAATCCAACCTCTTTGGTTGACAAGCAGTTTGTATACAGCCAAAGAAGTGGCATACTGGCCACCAAGATTTTTGTGTATTTCAATGTAAAAAAAGTTACAATAAAAACAAGAGAAGCGCGGGAAGTGTAAATGGTGCAAGATAATATTAGATTAAAGAATGTTATTGTAAACATTACTTAATATAGATGTTATGTTTGTCATACAAATGTATTTTTGACTGTCGCTCTGTATGTAACAAGTTATACAAGCATTTGAAAATAAAAGGTAAGAAGTGATGACTATAAAAACCCTTTAATGCTTTTTACAAGTAATAATAATAGCTTTGAAAATATGGTTTTAACTACACATTTAATGTTACAGCCACAGCTCCGAGCTATTAAAAAAAAGGACATATAAATAAAAAACAAAATAAATAAAATAACAAATCTATCAATGAACCGCTACGAAAGTTGCCAGTTCGTTTACTTTCGATTTCCTTCTTCAAATTAAATGACAAAGGGGCAACGTTCTATTAACTGTTCAATAGTATGATGCATTGATTCGGAATGTAATTATAATACAACAGTGTTGCCATACGTGGGCATTCTTGTTTTTGGAGGACATAATACCTTTAGAGCCGTGTTAGCATACAATGAGCAGTCGACGCGACTGACGCATTATTGGGTCACCGGTTCGAATCGCTTCTTATTATAATTAACGTCACGGATTATGTGACATTTGCAGCTTGACAGAATCAGTCCAAATACGAAATCCGATTGTGGTGATTTTAACTAGTATAGTATTATATATTTGTACTATTTGTACTATTTGTATATTAACGTATAATAAAAAATAGAAAAAACAATTAAATGATTCATACAGCCTTATTAAGACGAACTAGACAATAACAACTGAAATATATGAAAACAATTAATACGAAAAAGAAAACTGACATGAAATCGCAAATCTATTTAACATACAACATAATTTTACGCAAAGTACCGCTAAATGAAATACGTCGACAAAACAAGAATGCGGTTGGAACGAGTTTAAAAAGAAACGAGAGCATTTCGAACTGCTGGGAAGTATTCGTTTGATAGAGCTCCGAAGTGTAATTGATGTACGCTTCTTGAAGACCCGATGAGTAGCTTATGCTGCCTTTAAACGGGCAAATTTACTTGCCGAAAGTGTTATATTATTTAAAAATGAAAGACATATATAATTGTAAAACTACGACACCCCTTATTAACTAGAATCTTGCCTAAAATCCGATTTATTTTAAAACTCGCATTTTCATACCAATTTGATGCCTCAAATTTATACGTTATTATTGTATAGCCATACTTGAGTGTATTTCGATACAAACATCGTTATTTATCTTTCCATTGATTCATTACGTAGTTCATCATCAGTAAATAAATACTGGAATCGTTATTAACTAACTTACTGTTTAGTAATTCAAACGGTGCACGCATCACAAGACGAAGAATGGTTCAATGATTGATACGTAGTGTTGTATCATTTTGCAACAATGTAGTTTTTACATTGATTCATATGCGGTATTGATTATTTGTTACAATTATAACACGATCATTATTGCTCAATTGTTTCTTTTACGCAATGTTAAGATTCCTTGATTGATTTTAGTATAAGAAGTCATTACATGCCTATTCATTTTTACTACACTATTTATGCTAACCAAAAATACATGATTGTTTTAGTTAACTTTAACTCTACTATCTACAGGTCATTTAAAAAATTATAAATACTCTTCAAGCTGTCCAATAGTTACAGAATACAATGAATTGAAAATATTCTACATGCTTTATACTATCGCGAAAATCATTACCTTGTCTATTAGGCAAAAACGACCAGTTAGTAGACCGAGTGATGAATTGGCGGTGATTTTAATGAGGGTAGACAGCAGATAGATTTACAGCAGGATTGATGGCGCGAGCCGAGGTAAGGTATAGTCCGCGGGGTCACCACTAAGGGGTCTTGTTGCACTAAGAGATGCAATTTGATGGGATTGTATATTTCAAATCACAGTTTTTACACTTTTTTTCTTAAATAAGTACGGTATATATTATGTTTCATGACCAAACGCTGTCAAAAAAAAAGGGATATCTGGTATTTTATAATATGCCAGTATTATAACCTTCTATGATCAATGGAAGGCTTCCGATGTTGTGTATTATTATGTATTTTGTACAAAATGTTAATGGAACGGTGTTATGCAATTGTTGCAGGAGCTAAAGGAGAGCTTCAACTATGGTCTATTCTGCCCGCCGGTCAACGGCAAGGCTGGAAAGTTCCTGGACGAGGAGAGGCGCCTCGGCGACTACCCCTTCAACGGCCCTGTTGGATATCTTGAGGTATTACACTTTTAATTAAAAGAATAACAATCAAAAAACATACTATGAAATTCAAGCGAGTACTCTGAATTTGTTTAAATACAAAACTAATCAGAATCACATTAAAAACTTTAAACTTATAATTTTACAGTTAAAGTACAAACGTCGTGTGTACAAAATGTTGAAGCTGGACGAGAAGACGTTGAAGACGGTGCATTCGCGCGCCAACCTGCGCCGCTTCCTCGAGCATGTGGCGCACGCGCAACTAGACAAGATCACCAAAGCCTGCGCCAAAGGACTCGACCCCAACTTTCATTGTCAGGACACCGGAGGTATGGCCTATCTAATACATAAATGAAAACAGACACACCCGTACCTGAGAAAGTTTCTGGTCTCCCTGAATTACTATTTATAATGAAAAGTTTTCTTTGGTGATCAATTAATTTCTCGTAGGTAATCATTTGAGTCATTCACTGATTTTCCTAATTAATTCTTACGACTTAAAGAATAATATCACTATATTACTTTATTTTTATATCGTGATATTACACTAAGAGCATATCAACCTTGTTATGGCGCAGTAGCTTTGTAAAGTAACATTATATATGTGCCAATAGCTTATCTTCCATTGTTCTATGTGTTTTGATATTACCAACCAGCTACGCATTAAACAAGGCAATTCTGCAATACAATATGGCTCGTATTTTTAAAAGCAAACAGTCGTAAGTCGTCTAAAATCAGTCTGAGGTTAAAAATTATACACAAAGTACGGTATTGTAACGTCTCGCTATTGTAACAAGACCGTATCAATGGCCGTTGATAATTGTTGATAAATGTAGAGCGGACCTTGAAATTAAGCAAAATAATAAACACCTTACTTACGGAACATTAATAAAAGTGTAGCAATAATAACCCTTTAATGCTGTAAAAACTTTACATTCTATTACATTATACAGGAAACAAGACTAAAATAATCTTGTACATTTACAGAAACACCTCTAACTGTAGCAGCGGGTATCAAATCTCCAGCTAAAGTTCTTATAGCACTCGTCAATGGTGGAGCTCTACTGGACTACAGGACAAAAGATGGCAGCACAGCGATGCACCGGGCAATCGAGAAGAACTCCCTAGAAGCAGTCAAAACTCTGCTCGAACTGGGAGCGTCACCTAATTACAAGGATAGCAAGGGACTAACGCCTTTATATCTATCTGTTACAAACAAAACAGATCCTTTATTATGTGAAACATTGCTGCACGATCACGCAACGATTGGTGCAACAGATTTACAAGGATGGCAAGAAGTACACCAGGTGAATTATATTCTAAGAATAGAAATAATCAAATAATCAAATGCGTTGACGGCCTCTGAAAAAGAGATACGCTTGCTTTATGTAAAACTCTAACAGCTCTACAATTAAACGCGGTATAAAGATAAACTGAGTAAAAGCAAAATTTGTACTAATATTTACTTATACTCGGTTTATTCCTAAGTTTAACTTTATACCGCGATTCTTTTTAAGGCTGTTAGTCTTACCGGTTTGGAAATACCGAAGACCACAAATAATGCGGTTTTGTCACTAGCGCAGCAC